AAATCAACCACAACCGCAGAAAGACCAACAACAACAGCAGCGGTCACAAAAAGTCCACCACAACAACAGTGGAGAGCCCAGTACCCCTGCAACTACAGAAAAACCTAGCACCACAACAACTGCTAAATCACAACAACCATAAAAGAGCCCATCACAACCACTACACTCACAGAGAAACCCACCACAACAGTCGCAGAGAAGCCCAGCACTACTGCTGCTACAACACAAAGAAATCCTCCACAACATCTGCAAACTGCTTTCGTTGTTCTTGGTCAGTTTGGACCGACAGTCATTACCCTGAGGACGGCAGTGACGGTGGAGAGTATGAGCCTATTGACAAAATTACGAATCCAGATCTGAGTACTTGCAGTGACCTCTGAAAATAGAGTGTAGATCAAAAGACCATAAAGATACACCTTGAATCAAATTGGTCAGAAATTAACATGCAACCCAGAAGTTGGACTGAGATGTAACAATAAAGATCAAGGTTTTGCTCCTCCATGTTATGACTATGAAATACGAGTCCAATGTTGCATCAACATTTGTGCACCATCAACCACAAAGGCCCCCTCCACACACCAACCAAAGGAACCATACCTTCAGCCACTACAACATCTGGATCAACAGAAAAAATTGGCACCACCTCTGGTGCCGTCACAGAAAATCCAACGACAACCACGCTCACAGAAGAGCACCACAACAACACAACCACAGAAAAACCTGTAACAAGCACTGCTGGAACAATCCAAAACCCACTGAAACAACACCTGAAGTTGTAAACATACAGTGGTCAACAGTACAATCAACGAGCTCTGTTGTCGTTCCTACAACTACTGCAACCACAGAGAAGACCACACAACAGCCACAGAGAAGACCAGCACTACTGCAGCCACACCACAGAACACCACAGTGACAGAAGAATCAACCACAATCTCAGAAAAACCCACACCACCACAACAGCCACAGAAAAGCCCAGTTCTACTGCCTCTCCAACACAGACAACCCACAGTGACAGAAAATCAACCACAACGCAGAAAGACAACAACAGCAGCGGTCACAGAAAAGTCCACCACAACAACAAGTGGAGAGCCAGTACCCTGCAACTACAGAAAACCTAGCACCACAACAACTGCTAAATCCACAACAACCATAAAAGACCATCACAACCACTACACTCACAGAGAAACCCACCACAACAGTCGCAGAGAAGCCCAGCACTACTGCTGCTACAACCACAAAGAAATCCTCCACAACATCTGCAAACTGCTTTCGTTGTTCTTGGTCAGTTTGGACCGACAGTCATTACCCTGAGGACGGCAGTGACGGTGGAGAGTATGAGCTATTGACAAAATTACGATCCAGATCTGAGTACTTGCAGTGAACCTCTGAAAATAGAGTGTAGATAAAAGACCATAAGATACACCCTTGAATCAAATTGGTCAGAAATTAACATGCAACCCAGAAGTTGGACTGAGATGTAAAATAAAGATCAAGGTTTTGCTCCTCCATGTTATGACTATGAAATACGAGTCCAATGTTGCATCAACATTTGTGCACCATCACACAAAGGCCCCTCCACAACACCAACCAAAGGAACCATACTTCAGCCACTACAACATCTGGATCAACAGAAAAAATTGGCACCACCTCTGGTGCGTCACAGAAAATCCAACGACAACCACGCTCACAGAAGAGCCACACAACAACCACAACCACAGAAAAACCTGTAACAAGCACTGCTGGAACAACTCCAAAACCCACTGAAACAACACCTGAAGTTGTAACACATACAGTGGTCACAACAGTACAATCAACGAGCTCTTGTCGTTCCTACAACTACTGCAACCACAGAGAAGACCACAACAACAGCCACAGAGAAGACCAGCACTACTGCAGCCACAACCACAGAACAACCACAGTGACAGAAGAATCAACCACAATCTCAGAAAAACCACAGCCACCACAACAGCCACAGAAAAGCCAGTTCTACTGCCTCTCCAACCACAGAACAACCCACAGTGACAGAAAAATCAACCACAACCGCAGAAAGACCAACAACAACAGCAGCGGTCACAGAAAAGTCCACCACAACAACAAGTGGAGAGCCCAGTACCCCTGCAACTACAGAAAAACCTAGCACACAACAACTGCTAAATCCACAACAACCATAAAAGAGCCATCACAACACTACACTCACAGAGAAACCCACCACAACAGTCGCAGAGAAGCCCAGCATACTGCTGCTACAACCACAAAGAAATCCTCCACAACATCTGCAAACTGCTTTCGTTGTTCTTGGTCAGTTTGGACGACAGTCATTACCCTGAGGACGGCAGTGACGGTGGAGAGTATGAGCCTATTGACAAAATTACGAATCCAGATCTGAGTACTTGCAGTGAACCTCTGAAAATAGAGTGTAGATCAAAAGACCATAAAGATACACCCTTGAATCAAATTGGTCAGAAATTAACATGCAACCCAGAAGTTGGACTGAGATGTAACAATAAAGATCAAGGTTTTGCTCCTCCATGTTATGACTATAAATACGAGTCCAATGTTGCATCAACATTTGTGCACCATCAACCACAAAGGCCCCCTCCACAACACCAACCAAAGGAACCATACCTTCAGCCACTACAACATCTGGATCAACAGAAAAAATTGGCACCACCTCTGGTGCCGTCACAGAAAATCCAACGACAACCACGCTCACAGAAGAGCCCACCACAACAACCACAACCACAGAAAAACCTGTAACAAGCACTGCTGGAACAACTCCAAAACCCACTGAAACAACACCTGAAGTTGTAACACATACAGTGGTCCAACAGTACAATCAACGAGCTCTGTTGTCGTTCCTACAACTACTGCAACCACAGAGAAGACCACAACAACAGCCACAGAGAAGACCAGCACTACTGCAGCCACAACCACAGAACAACCCACAGTGACAGAAGAATCAACCACAATCTCAAAAACCCACAGCCACCACAACAGCCACAGAAAAGCCCAGTTCTACTGCCTCTCCAACCACAGAACAACCACAGTGACAGAAAAATCAACCACAACCGCAGAAAGACCAACAACAACAGCAGCGGTCACAGAAAAGTCCACCACAACAACAAGTGGAGAGCCCAGTACCCTGCAACTACAGAAAAAACCTAGCACCACAACAACTGCTAAATCCACAACAACCATAAAAGAGCCCATCACAACCACTACACTCACAGAGAAACCCACCACAACAGTCGCAGAGAAGCCCAGCACTACTGCTGCTACACAAAAGAAATCCTCCACAACATCTGCAAACTGCTTTCGTTGTTCTTGGTCAGTTTGGACCGACAGTCATTACCCTGAGGACGGCAGTGACGGTGGAGAGTATGAGCCTATTGACAAAATTACGAATCCAGATCTGAGTACTTGCAGTGAACCTCTGAAAATAGAGTGTAGATCAAAAGACCATAAAGATACACCCTTGAATCAAATTGGTCAGAAATTAACATGCAACCAGAAGTTGGACTGAGATGTAACAATAAAGATCAAGGTTTTGCTCCTCCATGTTATGACTATGAAATACGAGTCCAATGTTGCATCAACATTTGTGCACCATCAACCACAAAGGCCCCCTCCACAACACCAACCAAAGGAACCATACCTTCAGCCACTACAACATCTGGATCAACAGAAAAAATTGGCACCACCTCTGGTGCCGTCACAGAAAATCCAACGACAACCACGCTCACAGAAGAGCCACCACAACAACCACAACCACAGAAAAACCTGTAACAAGCACTGCTGGAACAACTCCAAAACCCACTGAAACAACACCTGAAGTTGTAACACATACAGTGGTCACAACAGTACAATCAACGAGCTCTGTTGTCGTTCCTACAACTACTGCAACCACAGAGAAGACCACAACAACAGCCACAGAGAAGACCAGCACTACTGCAGCCACAACCACAGAACAACCCACAGTGACAGAAGAATCAACCACAATCTCAGAAAAACCCACAGCCACCACAACAGCCACAGAAAAGCCCAGTTCTACTGCCTCTCCAACCACAGAACAACCCACAGTGACAGAAAAATCAACCACAACCGCAGAAAGACCAACAACAACAGCAGCGGTCACAGAAAAGTCCACCACAACAACAAGTGGAGAGCCCAGTACCCCTGCAACTACAGAAAAACCTAGCACCACAACAACTGCTAAATCCACAACAACCATAAAAGAGCCCATCACAACCACTACACTCACAGAGAAACCCACCACAACAGTCGCAGAGAAGCCCAGCACTACTGCTGCTACAACCACAAAGAAATCCTCCACAACATCTGCAAACTGCTTTCGTTGTTCTTGGTCAGTTTGGACCGACAGTCATTACCCTGAGGACGGCAGTGACGGTGGAGAGTATGAGCCTATTGACAAAATTACGAATCCAGATCTGAGTACTTGCAGTGAACCTCTGAAAATAGAGTGTAGATCAAAAGACCATAAAGATACACCCTTGAATCAAATTGGTCAGAAATTAACATGCAACCCAGAAGTTGGACTGAGATGTAACAATAAAGATCAAGGTTTTGCTCCTCCATGTTATGACTATGAAATACGAGTCCAATGTTGCATCAACATTTGTGCACCATCAACCACAAAGGCCCCCTCCACAACACCAACCAAAGGAACCATACCTTCAGCCACTACAACATCTGGATCAACAGAAAAAATTGGCACCACCTCTGGTGCCGTCACAGAAAATCCAACGACAACCACGCTCACAGAAGAGCCCACCACAACAACCACAACCACAGAAAAACCTGTAACAAGCACTGCTGGAACAACTCCAAAACCCACTGAAACAACACCTGAAGTTGTAACACATACAGTGGTCACAACAGTACAATCAACGAGCTCTGTTGTCGTTCCTACAACTACTGCAACCACAGAGAAGACCACAACAACAGCCACAGAGAAGACCAGCACTACTGCAGCCACAACCACAGAACAACCCACAGTGACAGAAGAATCAACCACAATCTCAGAAAAACCCACAGCCACCACAACAGCCACAGAAAAGCCCAGTTCTACTGCCTCTCCAACCACAGAACAACCCACAGTGACAGAAAAATCAACCACAACCGCAGAAAGACCAACAACAACAGCAGCGGTCACAGAAAAGTCCACCACAACAACAAGTGGAGAGCCCAGTACCCCTGCAACTACAGAAAAACCTAGCACCACAACAACTGCTAAATCCACAACAACCATAAAAGAGCCCATCACAACCACTACACTCACAGAGAAACCCACCACAACAGTCGCAGAGAAGCCCAGCACTACTGCTGCTACAACCACAAAGAAATCCTCCACAACATCTGCAAACTGCTTTCGTTGTTCTTGGTCAGTTTGGACCGACAGTCATTACCCTGAGGACGGCAGTGACGGTGGAGAGTATGAGCCTATTGACAAAATTACGAATCCAGATCTGAGTACTTGCAGTGAACCTCTGAAAATAGAGTGTAGATCAAAAGACCATAAAGATACACCCTTGAATCAAATTGGTCAGAAATTAACATGCAACCCAGAAGTTGGACTGAGATGTAACAATAAAGATCAAGGTTTTGCTCCTCCATGTTATGACTATGAAATACGAGTCCAATGTTGCATCAACATTTGTGCACCATCAACCACAAAGGCCCCCTCCACAACACCAACCAAAGGAACCATACCTTCAGCCACTACAACATCTGGATCAACAGAAAAAATTGGCACCACCTCTGGTGCCGTCACAGAAAATCCAACGACAACCACGCTCACAGAAGAGCCCACCACAACAACCACAACCACAGAAAAACCTGTAACAAGCACTGCTGGAACAACTCCAAAACCCACTGAAACAACACCTGAAGTTGTAACACATACAGTGGTCACAACAGTACAATCAACGAGCTCTGTTGTCGTTCCTACAACTACTGCAACCACAGAGAAGACCACAACAACAGCCACAGAGAAGACCAGCACTACTGCAGCCACAACCACAGAACAACCCACAGTGACAGAAGAATCAACCACAATCTCAGAAAAACCCACAGCCACCACAACAGCCACAGAAAAGCCCAGTTCTACTGCCTCTCCAACCACAGAACAACCCACAGTGACAGAAAAATCAACCACAACCGCAGAAAGACCAACAACAACAGCAGCGGTCACAGAAAAGTCCACCACAACAACAAGTGGAGAGCCCAGTACCCCTGCAACTACAGAAAAACCTAGCACCACAACAACTGCTAAATCCACAACAACCATAAAAGAGCCCATCACAACCACTACACTCACAGAGAAACCCACCACAACAGTCGCAGAGAAGCCCAGCACTACTGCTGCTACAACCACAAAGAAATCCTCCACAACATCTGCAAACTGCTTTCGTTGTTCTTGGTCAGTTTGGACCGACAGTCATTACCCTGAGGACGGCAGTGACGGTGGAGAGTATGAGCCTATTGACAAAATTACGAATCCAGATCTGAGTACTTGCAGTGAACCTCTGAAAATAGAGTGTAGATCAAAAGACCATAAAGATACACCCTTGAATCAAATTGGTCAGAAATTAACATGCAACCCAGAAGTTGGACTGAGATGTAACAATAAAGATCAAGGTTTTGCTCCTCCATGTTATGACTATGAAATACGAGTCCAATGTTGCATCAACATTTGTGCACCATCAACCACAAAGGCCCCCTCCACAACACCAACCAAAGGAACCATACCTTCAGCCACTACAACATCTGGATCAACAGAAAAAATTGGCACCACCTCTGGTGCCGTCACAGAAAATCCAACGACAACCACGCTCACAGAAGAGCCCACCACAACAACCACAACCACAGAAAAACCTGTAACAAGCACTGCTGGAACAACTCCAAAACCCACTGAAACAACACCTGAAGTTGTAACACATACAGTGGTCACAACAGTACAATCAACGAGCTCTGTTGTCGTTCCTACAACTACTGCAACCACAGAGAAGACCACAACAACAGCCACAGAGAAGACCAGCACTACTGCAGCCACAACCACAGAACAACCCACAGTGACAGAAGAATCAACCACAATCTCAGAAAAACCCACAGCCACCACAACAGCCACAGAAAAGCCCAGTTCTACTGCCTCTCCAACCACAGAACAACCCACAGTGACAGAAAAATCAACCACAACCGCAGAAAGACCAACAACAACAGCAGCGGTCACAGAAAAGTCCACCACAACAACAAGTGGAGAGCCCAGTACCCCTGCAACTACAGAAAAACCTAGCACCACAACAACTGCTAAATCCACAACAACCATAAAAGAGCCCATCACAACCACTACACTCACAGAGAAACCCACCACAACAGTCGCAGAGAAGCCCAGCACTACTGCTGCTACAACCACAAAGAAATCCTCCACAACATCTGCAAACTGCTTTCGTTGTTCTTGGTCAGTTTGGACCGACAGTCATTACCCTGAGGACGGCAGTGACGGTGGAGAGTATGAGCCTATTGACAAAATTACGAATCCAGATCTGAGTACTTGCAGTGAACCTCTGAAAATAGAGTGTAGATCAAAAGACCATAAAGATACACCCTTGAATCAAATTGGTCAGAAATTAACATGCAACCCAGAAGTTGGACTGAGATGTAACAATAAAGATCAAGGTTTTGCTCCTCCATGTTATGACTATGAAATACGAGTCCAATGTTGCATCAACATTTGTGCACCATCAACCACAAAGGCCCCCTCCACAACACCAACCAAAGGAACCATACCTTCAGCCACTACAACATCTGGATCAACAGAAAAAATTGGCACCACCTCTGGTGCCGTCACAGAAAATCCAACGACAACCACGCTCACAGAAGAGCCCACCACAACAACCACAACCACAGAAAAACCTGTAACAAGCACTGCTGGAACAACTCCAAAACCCACTGAAACAACACCTGAAGTTGTAACACATACAGTGGTCACAACAGTACAATCAACGAGCTCTGTTGTCGTTCCTACAACTACTGCAACCACAGAGAAGACCACAACAACAGCCACAGAGAAGACCAGCACTACTGCAGCCACAACCACAGAACAACCCACAGTGACAGAAGAATCAACCACAATCTCAGAAAAACCCACAGCCACCACAACAGCCACAGAAAAGCCCAGTTCTACTGCCTCTCCAACCACAGAACAACCCACAGTGACAGAAAAATCAACCACAACCGCAGAAAGACCAACAACAACAGCAGCGGTCACAGAAAAGTCCACCACAACAACAAGTGGAGAGCCCAGTACCCCTGCAACTACAGAAAAACCTAGCACCACAACAACTGCTAAATCCACAACAACCATAAAAGAGCCCATCACAACCACTACACTCACAGAGAAACCCACCACAACAGTCGCAGAGAAGCCCAGCACTACTGCTGCTACAACCACAAAGAAATCCTCCACAACATCTGCAAACTGCTTTCGTTGTTCTTGGTCAGTTTGGACCGACAGTCATTACCCTGAGGACGGCAGTGACGGTGGAGAGTATGAGCCTATTGACAAAATTACGAATCCAGATCTGAGTACTTGCAGTGAACCTCTGAAAATAGAGTGTAGATCAAAAGACCATAAAGATACACCCTTGAATCAAATTGGTCAGAAATTAACATGCAACCCAGAAGTTGGACTGAGATGTAACAATAAAGATCAAGGTTTTGCTCCTCCATGTTATGACTATGAAATACGAGTCCAATGTTGCATCAACATTTGTGCACCATCAACCACAAAGGCCCCCTCCACAACACCAACCAAAGGAACCATACCTTCAGCCACTACAACATCTGGATCAACAGAAAAAATTGGCACCACCTCTGGTGCCGTCACAGAAAATCCAACGACAACCACGCTCACAGAAGAGCCCACCACAACAACCACAACCACAGAAAAACCTGTAACAAGCACTGCTGGAACAACTCCAAAACCCACTGAAACAACACCTGAAGTTGTAACACATACAGTGGTCACAACAGTACAATCAACGAGCTCTGTTGTCGTTCCTACAACTACTGCAACCACAGAGAAGACCACAACAACAGCCACAGAGAAGACCAGCACTACTGCAGCCACAACCACAGAACAACCCACAGTGACAGAAGAATCAACCACAATCTCAGAAAAACCCACAGCCACCACAACAGCCACAGAAAAGCCCAGTTCTACTGCCTCTCCAACCACAGAACAACCCACAGTGACAGAAAAATCAACCACAACCGCAGAAAGACCAACAACAACAGCAGCGGTCACAGAAAAGTCCACCACAACAACAAGTGGAGAGCCCAGTACCCCTGCAACTACAGAAAAACCTAGCACCACAACAACTGCTAAATCCACAACAACCATAAAAGAGCCCATCACAACCACTACACTCACAGAGAAACCCACCACAACAGTCGCAGAGAAGCCCAGCACTACTGCTGCTACAACCACAAAGAAATCCTCCACAACATCTGCAAACTGCTTTCGTTGTTCTTGGTCAGTTTGGACCGACAGTCATTACCCTGAGGACGGCAGTGACGGTGGAGAGTATGAGCCTATTGACAAAATTACGAATCCAGATCTGAGTACTTGCAGTGAACCTCTGAAAATAGAGTGTAGATCAAAAGACCATAAAGATACACCCTTGAATCAAATTGGTCAGAAATTAACATGCAACCCAGAAGTTGGACTGAGATGTAACAATAAAGATCAAGGTTTTGCTCCTCCATGTTATGACTATGAAATACGAGTCCAATGTTGCATCAACATTTGTGCACCATCAACCACAAAGGCCCCCTCCACAACACCAACCAAAGGAACCATACCTTCAGCCACTACAACATCTGGATCAACAGAAAAAATTGGCACCACCTCTGGTGCCGTCACAGAAAATCCAACGACAACCACGCTCACAGAAGAGCCCACCACAACAACCACAACCACAGAAAAACCTGTAACAAGCACTGCTGGAACAACTCCAAAACCCACTGAAACAACACCTGAAGTTGTAACACATACAGTGGTCACAACAGTACAATCAACGAGCTCTGTTGTCGTTCCTACAACTACTGCAACCACAGAGAAGACCACAACAACAGCCACAGAGAAGACCAGCACTACTGCAGCCACAACCACAGAACAACCCACAGTGACAGAAGAATCAACCACAATCTCAGAAAAACCCACAGCCACCACAACAGCCACAGAAAAGCCCAGTTCTACTGCCTCTCCAACCACAGAACAACCCACAGTGACAGAAAAATCAACCACAACCGCAGAAAGACCAACAACAACAGCAGCGGTCACAGAAAAGTCCACCACAACAACAAGTGGAGAGCCAGTACCCCTGCAACTACAGAAAAACCTAGCACCACAACAACTGCTAAATCCACAACAACCATAAAAGAGCCCATCACAACCACTACACTCACAGAGAAACCCACCACAACAGTCGCAGAGAAGCCCAGCACTACTGCTGCTACAACCACAAAGAAATCCTCCACAACATCTGCAAACTGCTTTCGTTGTTCTTGGTCAGTTTGGACCGACAGTCATTACCCTGAGGACGGCAGTGACGGTGGAGAGTATGAGCCTATTGACAAAATTACGAATCCAGATCTGAGTACTTGCAGTGAACCTCTGAAAATAGAGTGTAGATCAAAAGACCATAAAGATACACCCTTGAATCAAATTGGTCAGAAATTAACATGCAACCCAGAAGTTGGACTGAGATGTAACAATAAAGATCAAGGTTTTGCTCCTCCATGTTATGACTATGAAATACGAGTCCAATGTTGCATCAACATTTGTGCACCATCAACCACAAAGGCCCCCTCCACAACACCAACCAAAGGAACCATACCTTCAGCCACTACAACATCTGGATCAACAGAAAAAATTGGCACCACCTCTGGTGCCGTCACAGAAAATCCAACGACAACCACGCTCACAGAAGAGCCCACCACAACAACCACAACCACAGAAAAACCTGTAACAAGCACTGCTGGAACAACTCCAAAACCCACTGAAACAACACCTGAAGTTGTAACACATACAGTGGTCACAACAGTACAATCAACGAGCTCTGTTGTCGTTCCTACAACTACTGCAACCACAGAGAAGACCACAACAACAGCCACAGAGAAGACCAGCACTACTGCAGCCACAACCACAGAACAACCCACAGTGAAGAAGAATCAACCACAATCTCAGAAAACCCACAGCCACCACAAACAGCCACAGAAAAGCCCAGTCTTACTGCCTCTCCAACCACAGAACAACCCACAGTGACAGAAAAATCAACCACAACCGCAGAAAGACCAACAACAACAGCAGCGGTCACAAAAGTCCACCACAACAACAAGTGGAGAGCCCAGTACCCCTGCAACTACAGAAAAACCTTAGCACCACAACAACTGCTAAATCCACAACAACCATAAAAAGCCCATCACAACCACTACACTCACAGAGAAACCCACCACAACAGTCGCAGAGAAGCCAGCACTACTGCTGCTACAACCACAAAGAAATCCTCCACAACATCTGCAAACTGCTTTCGTTGTTTTGGTCAGTTTGGACCGACAGTCATTACCCTGAGGACGCAGTGACGGTGGAGAGTATGAGCCTATTGACAAAATTACGAATCCAGATCTGAGTACTTGCAGTGAACCTCTGAAAATAGAGTGTAGATCAAAAGACCATAAAGATACACCTTGAATCAAATTGGTCAAGAAATTAACATGCAACCCAGAATTGGACTGATGATGTAACAATAAAGATCCAAGGTTTTTCCTCCATGTTATGACTATGAAATACGAGTCCAATGTTGCATCACATTGGTGCACGCATCAACCACAAAGGCCCCTCCACAACACCAACCAAAGGAACCATACCTTCACCACTACAACATCTGGATCAACGAAAAAATTGGCACCACCTCTGGTGCCGTCACAGAAAATCCAACGACAACCACGCTACAGAAGAGCCCACCCAACAACCACAACCACAGAAAAACCTGTAACAAGCACTGCTGAACAACTCCAAAACCCACTGAAACAACACCTGAAGTTGTAACACATACAGTCAAGACATCAGTGCAATCAAACGACTCTGTTGTCGTTCCTACAACTTGCAACCACAGAGAAGACCACAACAACAGCCACAGAGAAGACCAGCACTACTGCAGCCACAACCACAGAACAACCCACAGTGACAGAAGAATCAACACAATCTCAGAAAAAACCCACAGCCACCACAACAGCCACAGAAAGCCCAGTTCTACTGCCTCTCCAACCACAGAACAACC